TCACGTATAAGACAGTCGTCTACAACAGCCAGAGATTGCTTCTGCAAGAGCCAAAATGCTTCTTATGTTAATTTCAACAGATGACCACTGGAATGAAAACGTAACATTTAAAACGGTCTCACTGAACGCTGGGACCTCTGGATGGGGATGGCAGCCCTCACTTTGGGAAAATATCATTTCCTGTGTCATCCCTGAATGAACCGGGCCACTCGAAGCTTCAGATAGTTCCCAGTGCAACCATCCATTCACTGCACTGCATTAGCCACTTCAAGTGAAATCAAAGCCACTGGGCATAAGGTATGCCATCATTTTACACACAAACAGGAAGGAAAAATGTTCACTAGAAACATGATTTTGGAGATGTTCAAATGTGAAAAACAAAAGAGAAAGACCCTGTGTCTTGGCCTGGGTGGGAACCCCCCGGCACAGGGCGCTGACTGAGAACTGGGGGCGCTGAGAAGGGGGCGCTCTGCTGTCCAGCCCCGGGCGGGATGGTAGCCCTGCTTCTTTGCAGCCGTGGGACACGGGCAAACCCCTTCCCCTCGGTGAGCCGCAACCTGTATCTAATATTAACGTTGCCTGCTTCTCACTACGTTGATGGGAGAATCAAACATGATTCTGTTAGTTTTTACCATGCGCCCAACACTTATTAGCTGCCTTATTCCTGCTGCTCCTATGAATCTGGCAAGAGCAAGATCCTGAGTTTAACAAATATTAAATGGCTTCTAGAATGTGAATGAGTCCCCTAGTCTCCGTTGCCAAACCTTGAGACACCGTGTGAAATAAGGCCTGACGACTTTGCTGCCTCAGTGCCAGTGGCTCTAGAAACAAAATGAAATCATTATCTAAAATGGAGTCAAAACATCTTCTTAAACGGAAGAATCACTGGAGCCCCCAGGAGCGGATGACTGGAACACAATGGGTGATAGTTTGCATACTGCTTTGCATGACATTTGCATGCCACCAGTTCCTTTGTGCTGGAAGTGGAAACCCGCCCACCATCTGGTTCTTTCCTAGGCCCTTAGGGTGCCCTAGGTGTAGAGTTGGCTGCCTCTGCCTGGGAAAAATGAAGCAATTGGTGTGCATTAAGTGGTTGTGGCATGTGCCTCCAGGGCTGGTTATCTCTGCTGCGGGGAGAAGGCTGTGGACCAGTCCCCTGGCACCACTGTGGACCATCCTGCCCTGAGGATGGTCGCTGATGCGAACACCAGTAACCCACAAGCATCGCCAGGCTTCACCTGAACACAACCCCCAGCACGAATGCACGGCTGGTAAATCAGATGAATCACAGCTAAGTGGCTGAGAAAACAGTTCCTGACCACCGGTCGCTTCCGTATCAAACCAGTGCACCGCTCTTTTCCGGAGTGTGAGTAATCATGGGGTAGCGGACCTACGACAAAGGTTTGCTTTCACTTTCAAAGTTGTTAGGATTTAAGGTAAACATGCAGCAGCCAATACCTGGCAATAAAGAACAAAAATCAGCACTGAGTTCATGAGATCCCTGGTACAGAATCCTCTGTCAGCTCTACTGCTGTTTCTTGGGATTAACTGAGTATTTTTGAGCCCTCAATTCATGGCTACTTGTCCATAAGTTATAACGGACCTATGTTTACCAGTACATAGGCCCAAAGTTACGAAACTGCTGTTTCTTGGGATTAACTGAATATTTTTGTAAACTCAAATACCTATAATGTAGTATTGGTATGTAAACTGGACAGTGATTCTATATAAGAGGATATGAAATATCTATTATTCATACAAGAGCTGAAAATAGCACCCTAATGAGTAAGTGTCCTCTGAGTTACCCTTTGGGTGGTGCATACAAAGGCCAGCTCACAGTTCTCCGAGGCTCCCACATGACATGTGACCCACGAGTGAACAGCAAACCCAACCAATCAGCCATAAAAACCCAGATTCATATCCGGATACTGGGGCCAGGAGACGACAAACATGATTAAGCTTATTAGGTTTTAGAGATGCTATTTTGTCATAGGGTAATTTTATCTTTGGGTGCTTTACAGCTTTAATAAGGATAAAAGGCTTTTAAAATGACTGGAAATAACATGTGAAAGAGTATGCTTTTGCAGACACTTAGAAACACAGGAACCTTAGTTACACTAAAATTTCAAAAAGTGACTCTAAGAAAGTTAAAATAACCAAATGAACCACCTTGAGAGACCACTTTTCTGTCCAAAAGTGTCACTTCTCATAGGATAATCATGACAATGCCAGAAATTTTAGAGATTTAGTACAATGCCTACCACCTTTTTTTATACATGAGGAAGTCAAGATCTGATTTAGAAACTGGCGCTTATTTAAAAAAAGGCAGAGTCCAGAAGATGAACACTCGGGACTGGCAGGTGCTGGACCAGGGACCTGGCTGGTGGGGGCTCAGTTAAAGAGCTTAGAGCTTTGAAGAAAACCACGTTCCAAAAGGAGAAAAAGGTGTTAAGGAGAAATGGCATCTCTAAAAAGAATAACCACACATAAGGATGTTCTGGGGCAGAGTTGGGTGACCTTCTGGGTCTGGGGTCACCTGGGATGAGGGGTGGGCCTGTCCCCAGGAAGCAGGGCCCTGCACCACCTCAGTCCCTGAAAGGGCCAGGAAAGCAAACTCATTTCAAAGGACAGGGAACCAGACATATGACAGAAGGTGCATATGAATCACCGATTCAGTGCTACTCGGAACAGGAGGGCATGGCCTCTTTATCTGCTCATCTGTCTCCCAAAAAGCTCAAGATCTGGACAGAACAAGAGGCCCAGAAGCTGGCTCCTCAGGGTGTGTCTTACAGGCCCCCGAAGACGGAGAGTTCCTGTCTTTAAGGGAAAAGGAGCGGTGGATGTGCTGGTTATCCTCTCCCCGCCCCCACCCCGGGATGCAGTCTTGGCCTGTGCCTGTGCCTGTGTCCTGGCTCACTGGCCTCTGTGACCTGCATTCCCTGGGCCCCTTGTCACCTGTGCTCATCCAATGGGAAGCCTGGCAAGGGATGGGGGATGGGAAGAGAGACAGCAGAGTATTTCTTCCCATCTCTCCAGCAGCCCCTGCCCAGGGCCCTCATCTGCGGCCCCAGCCTCCTGGCTCTGCAGCAGCATTTGCCCCTGGTCCCTGCAGGCTTGGCAGGGGCAAGGAGGTGTTGGCGGATATAAACGCCTTCTTGGGCCTCCCCGCTCCTGGCTGGCTCTCTTTCATTTCTTCATTCCATGGACCCTGACTCTAAATTGGAGTCTCTCTTTTGCCAGGACCCTGAAGCGACACCAGGGAATGGAGACCATGGGATAAACATGGCAGCTTGTACATTTTATGTTGAATCTGAGCTACCTTACAGAGTAGAATGGAAATCCACATATACTTTAAACATAAACAGACCTTCAAAAACATCAGCTTCCAACCCCAAATACTGCTGCCCTGGCAGTTCACTCTCCTTTGGCCTCCAAGATCTTTAGCGGCAAAACTGGGAATGGATGCTCTACCAGGGGGAATGGAGCCTCCCTCAGACTCCACCTGCATTATAAGTGGAAGTACAATCAGGAGCCACACAGCGGCATTTCATTTCAGTCAACGACAGAACACAGATGTGAGGTGGTCTATAAGCTCATACTGTACAGCCTTGTGTGTACTAGGCTATACCATCCAGGTGTGTGCTGGTACACTCTGAGATGTTCACACAACAATGAAGTTACCCAACAACACATTTCTCAGAATGTCTTCCTGTTGTGAAGCAAGGCATGACTGTAAAGTTAGGGGAATTCCTTGGTTGCCTGAGGGAGCTGGTCTTCCAGGCCACAGAGCAGCAGCCACAACCTGATGGAGATAGGGGACGGGGGGGAGGGAGAGGAGGAAAATAACTCAAGCAGGGCCAGAGCACACAGGAAGGAGGAGGAGGGTCAGGAATGGGAGCATCCTAAGATCTTGGCCTGTGTAGGAAGTCACTCCTCTGAGAACAATGTGGTTGGAGTCCAGCACTTTGATTCCTTTCAGAATAAAGAGTCAGTCCTTAGCAAAAGTCCTGCTATAAGGCCAACATCCTTTGTTACTAAATGGGCAGAGAATTATGCAATATTAGAACACTTTTCACAGTCTATAATTTAAAAATTCCCCACACCTAAAATGAAGACACATTGGTTATCTATATATATAAAAGCCTAAGTGACCGATCGACCATTCGACTGGTAGCTATGACACGCACTGACCACCAGGGGCAGACACTCCGACGGGTAGGTTAGCTTGCTGCTGGGATCTGGCTGATCGGGACTGGGTAAGATGGGCTGGACACACCCTGGAGCCCTCCTGCGGTTCCTCCTCAGCCCCGATCATGCACCGGTGGGGTCCCTCAGCCTGGACTGTGCCCTCTTGCAATCTGGGACCCCTCTGGGGATGTCTACAGGCCAGGCCTAGGAACCCCACCGGTGCATGAATCTGTGCACCGGGCCTCTAGTTTAAAATAAAAGTGAAACACAAGTTGATGTTACTCCTCATAATGCTGGATAGATAATCGTTAACCATAACCCCTTGGACTTACAGTAGAACCTGGAAGAGAGGAGAAGGCAGCCGCTAAGGGCATGTGCATAAAAGGAAAAACTGCTGGGCTTCTGGGAGGGGACAGTCACTGAGCAGAAGTGGAACCAGCTGGGAGTCCTCCTGTGTCCCCTCCAAACACCCACTTCGTTCAATTCCTTTCCTTCCTCCTCATCACTCTCATATATGATGCCTCTGCTAAGCTTTTATTAAAAACCAGGCTCTAAAGTCAAGATCTGTGTGGATACTACGAGTTTACATTAAGGTATATATGTGAACTGCTACTATGGACAAGATGCCTTTACCTTTCAATACCAGCCTGATGATTCTTCTTAAATGCATTTGTATTCAGATGGAGAAGACTTCTCTTTATCAATACCTAATTCCAAGTGGAATTATCTCATTTCTCATCATTTTTTTTCAAAGATAAAAATTATCAAAAGGCAACAGACACCAGTAAGAACCAGGATGTTAGTTTGCTTACCTGCTGTCCCCAGCATTTGCCACGTACAGCTTCCCAAGGAGGCAAATGACAATGAGGGCTGTGCAGCCACCAGATATGTTATATGTACTCCTCTCTCGTTCTATCTGCAGGTCCTGGGGAAGAAAACGAAGTTAGTGTTGGATTGCACAGGAACGCGTACCAAAGGCTTTCCTAGCATCGCTCCCTAAGGGTCTGAATGTGCTTCAAAGAGACAAGAGAATCCTCAGCACTTGCTTTTCTGGAGAGGACACTGGCATGAAACAATGGCCCGCCAGACCATCTGCGGACCAGAGGCAGGAAGCAGGGGGTGGCAAACAGACATAACCAGGCAAAAATGAGAAGAATAAAACCAACTGTAGTCAATAAATATCAGAGCTTATGGAAAATGCAGGCTTTGTACGGGCTGTCTGAGCTGCCATGTGGAAAAGACAATAGAAAGGCTGACGAGGCCTTGTACACGAGGCCTTGTACTTGGTCCTGGTCAATGATTTTAACCCCAAAGTCTCCAATCAGCTAGGAGAGAGAGGTGACTTGAAGGACAGTGCCCTCTGTTCACTGCAGAGAGGAGTCAACCTCCTGTCTTACTGATCAAAGATATAAAAGCTCCTGTGCTCGGGTCTGACGTCCTCTTCCCACGGATTCACAAGAGTGACGCACACGCATAGTAACAGTCAACTTTCATCCTCAATGTCAGCTAGCGGGCGAAGCACTTTACATATAGAGTCTCATCTCGTCCTCACGACCACAGTAGTAGCCTCACTGCCCAGAGGCAGAGAAATGGGGTAACCTGCCCCTGTTTACCTGGCTGGAGTTTGGATTCCAATTCAGTTCTCTTCCTCCAAAGCCTATGTTCTTACTTGCCACCTAATGAGGCGTCCCCAAGAAAGTTAAAAATAGACCAACACTTCCACTGACAGATGTGCATCATCCTCAAGACAGATCGTTGTGAAATTCTACTGACAGAAGTAAGGGCTCCGTTACCTCAGAAAATGGGAGTTTAATTAGGAAAAGAACCGAATGCTAGCTAAAATATCCCAGTAGTAATCTGCTGGTGGGGCAGAGGGAGGGAGAATGCGGTTGGGTGATAAGTCGAGAAGAGGAAGAAACGGTGCCCGGGCTGACGGTGAGGGTTCCACTGGCAGACCGAGGGCCAGGGCACTTTAGTGATTCCTGGTGGCTCGGTGGCTTTGGCCAGCTCCCCGTGCAAAGGGAGAAAGAATTCAGTAACCCAGCATTTATCAGCAATGGCTTTACTCCAGGGGCCAGACGTGGGGATACAAAGCTAGACAAACACCAAAGGGAAACTGGAGACAAAAGAGCCTGAGTTGAGGCCACAGAATAGGAACAGGGTTTTGGTCAAAAAGTAAGGAGAGAAAAAAAAGTACAAAGACAGGAGCTGGGAGAAACCAACTTACTGGGAATGAAGCGGGAAAGGAGAAAGGCAGTGGGAGGGCTGAGTAGGCGGGGAAAGTGTGTCGGGGGTAGTTCAGAAGCAGGTGAAGGAAAACTCCGGCAAGGGAGTGAGTGAACAACAGCATCGAAGCTGCGCCGGGCTCCGCCATCGGGCACGTGTGGCCAACTCTTCCACTTGTCTTCCCACAGGACTTTCAGGAGCAAGAGGTTCCTGGCCAAGAAAACAAGGCAGAATTGGCTCATTCCCCCTTGGATATGGGCGGAAACCGGGAATACAATCAGGCACAACTCCAAGAGGAGACATTGAGAGGAACCAGGCCGGGTCTGCCAGGAGTCGCCCAGGAGAGGCGCTCACACCCAGCTGCACCCAGGATGCCTGTGGCTAACCGCGTCCCTGAAAAACTAGATCACCACTGTAGGGGAACTGGGTGTTTTCATTGGGAAATTATCGGAAGAATGATTTTTCTCTTTGTTGATATTTTTCTGCACTAGTAGGCGGGGTCAGTAATAAACAATGTGAGACCTTTTTTTAAAAAAAAGAAGCGATAGAGAAAACCAAGATGGCGGCATAGGTAAACACGGGAGTTTGCTGCCTCGAACAACAACTTCAAAAATACAACTAAAAGACGGAACGGATATCATCCAGAACCACAGGAAGGCTGGCTGAGTGGAAGTTCTACAACTTGGAGGAAAGAGAAAAGCATACCGAGGCTCAGAGGAGGCGCAGTGCTGAAGTAAAATACTAAGGTGCGAAGTGCATGCGGAGCGGGCTAGAGGCTGAGGGCACGGTTGTCGTTTTCAATCGGGAGGGAGTCTCAGGCTCTGAGCTCCAGTTCCGGGCGAGTCTCTAGGGACCCAGACTCATAAGGGAGAAGCGGGACTGTCTGGCATCGCTCAGAACCCTAGGGCAGCTTTCTCTCTGTGGGG